GTATGAGCCACCGTACCTGACCTGAAAGTGGACTTTTGAAGTTTTCAACTATTATATTGCCAACAATCTCTCCTTTTTAGTTCTAATATTTACTTGATATATCTGGTAGTCCAGTGCTGGGTGCTTATATATTTTCAATGTTATATCTTCTTACTGAATTAATCCCTTTATCATTATATAATGACCTCCTTGGTTTCTTTTTATGGTTTCTGGCTTACAGTCTATTTTGTCTGATATAAATATAGCTGGTTTCCATTTGTGTGGAATATTTTTTCCATACTTTCATTTTCAGGTTATGTGGGTCTTTATAGGGGATGAGTGTTTTGGAGAAAGCATATATTATTATGATGGGTCATATCTTCTTATCTGTTCCACCAGCCTGTATCTTTGAATTGGGGAATTTAAACTACTTATATTCAAAGTTGTTAATGATAGGTACAGTTACTCCTGTCACTTTAGTAACTGCTTGCTAATTATTTTGTATATACTTTCTTCCTTTCTTCTTTTGTTTGTATTTGTGATTTGGTAACTTTTGGTAATGATAATGTCTAATTCTTTACTTTTTCTCAATTGTGTAGTTGCTTCATCAGTGAGATTTATACTGTCATATGTTTTCATGATGCCAGACATCATCTTTTCATTTCCAAATGTAGGACTTCCTTACACATTTCTTGTCAGGCCAGTTTGGTTGTGGTGAAATTCCTCAATTTTTGCTTGTCTGGGAATGACTATTTTTCCTTCATTTGGGTGCAGTATTCTTGGCTTACCACCACCCCCCACCCCAGCATTTTGAATACAATATCCTAGCCTGTAAGGTTTTTGCTGATAAATCTGTTAGTCTGATGTAGATTCCCTTAAGTGGTCTGACATTTTTCTCTTGCTATTAGAATTCTCTTTGTATTTGACCTTTGACAGTCTGACTATAATGTGCCTTGGAAAAGACCTTTCTGGAAAGTATCTATTTGGGAATATTTGAGCTTCCTGTATCTGGATGTTTCTACCTTCTGAAAAGCATGGGAAGTCTTCAGCTATTACTTCATTAAATAGGTTTTCTATTCCTTTTCCCATCTCTTTCCTTCTGAAACTCTCAAAATTCAAATATGTCATTTATGCTTTCCTTCATCATTTATTCTTTTTTTTTTTTTGTCTTACTAGGTTATTTCAAAAGACTTGTCTTAAAATTCAGAAATTCTTCTGCTTAGTCTATAATTGAAGCTCTTGACTGTACTTTTGCACTTCATTAAACCCTCCAGTTTCAGAGTTTTTTTCTAAATGATATTTGCCTCTTTGAGCATTTCTTATTCAGATCATTACCCTGCTTTCCTAATTTTCTGTTGTATTAGCCCTGTTACTTCTTGCTGAGTTTCCTTAAGATTGACTTTGAATTCTTTTTTGGTTATTTTACTGATTTTCTTTTCTTTGTTATCTGTTAGCTAAAAATTATTTAGCTTCTTTGGAGGCATTAAGCTTTCTTCATGTTTCTTGTGTTGTTACGCCAGTATCTGCACCTGGAATAACAGCTGCTTAATCTAATTTCATGGATTGTCTTTTGTAGGGAAGGACTTTTACTGTAGAAAATGCATAGTGTTAGCTGGTTAGGGTTCTTTGGGTTTTATTCTGGGGGGGTGCAGTTTGACTTATCCGGCTGTAAATGGCAGTGGTGTCTGTGAATTCTTCAGTGGCTTAGGCTGCAATTGTGGCAAGGATTTGCTAGGGATGGGAATGCCAGGTAGGCTTCGTCTATGAAAACACAGCTAGTGAATTCTGGTCTCAGTGGTGTAGCAGCAGGTCAGGCAGGTTTGACCTTAGGTATCCAGGTGGCACGTATGGCACTCATGGTGGTGGCGGCAGCAGGCTGGTCCTCAGAACCCCGGCTGGGGGCAGGATGGGTGCCCACGGGCCTATCCACAGGCTCCAGGACAATGAACGCCAGTGAGCTGGGCCTATCTAGGCAAGAGTCTTAAGATACACCACCACAAGCATAATGCATAAAAGAATAAAACTGAAAAAAGGGACCTCGTCAAAACGAAACCTTTTGCTGTGTCAAATACTGCCAAAAAAAAAAGAACGAAAAGTCACAGACTGGCTTGCTCCGACAAAGGATATTTGTATCCAGAAAAAAGATATTACAAAATAAAAGACAATCTAATGAAAAATGGGCAAAAGATCTGAAAGGTATTTTACCAAAGAAAATAGAGAGCTGGCAATACACATAAAAGTCACAAATAAAAAGTTAATTAAGACCATAATGAGATACCCTTTACATAACTGCTGGAATGTCGAGAAAAATGAACCTGACCATGTCGACTTCTGGCAAGGACAGAGAGCAACTGGAACTCTCACACGTTGCTGGTGGGAATGCAAAATGGTACAGACACCTGGAAAACAACTGGGAAGTATATCTTAAGTTTAAATATACAGTTGCATTCCACCCAGCCAAATTAATCCTAGATATGTATCAAAGGGAATTAAAAGTTCACATGAAAATCTTTATAGAAAAAACCAAGATGATAGATAAACCACAGGACATCCATACAATGGAACATTTTGGCATAAAGCCAGTAACTGACTCATGTAACAATATTAATAAATCTGAAATGCACTTTGCTAAGTGAAGGAACCAGATCTAAAAGGCTACGTATTGTAAGATTCCATTTATATAAGGTTCTGGAATAGATGAAACTATATAACAGGATGGTAAACTGTTCAGTGGTCTTCAGGGCCTAGAGGAAGGGGTAGAAGCTGCCTACAAAGGGACATCACAAGGTGTTACTTTTACATTAGTATTACTGTTCCATATGGCACTGTGGTTGTAGATACATGACACCATACATCTGTCAAAACCCATAAAACTATACAGCAGGTGAACTTAGGTATGTGTAAGTTTAAATATAAAAAACAGGATGTTCTGAGAGTCTCAGAATTGAATGAAGATGGTGATAAATCTTAATTGTAGTACAAATGAATAAAATAACCTCACTGCAGCAGGTAGAGACAAAGGAGCAGGGGTAAGTAACTTTAAAAAAACAGCATGTTCACTGAATCCTATTAGGCTAAAAATACAATAAATAAATGTATATAAATGCTACACTGTAATTGGTAAATTTGTTTCTCACAGGGGTACATATTACCAATTCTGAAAGCAAGCCAAGTTTCTATTAAAGACAGCAAGTTACAACTAAGCAAAGGGGAGTCTAAAATTAACTGTGTGGTTCTAGACTAGCCAGATAACCAATGCACATCTTCCTGCACTTAAAGTCACCTCTAGATTACATATAACAACACAGCACATATCTATGTAAGTAACTGTTTATTGTATTGCTCTTTTATTTGCATTTTTGTTGCTGTATTGCTACTTTTTACTGTTTTTTTCCTTCCTCCAATATTTTTGATCCATGGTTGGCTGAATCCATGGATGAAGAACCTGTGGACACAGAAAGCCAACCAGACACAGAAATAAGGATGTGGGCATACATAGGTACATTTCTTAGCTGTCTTTGTGAGGGTGTACAAGTATAAAATTCCATGAAACAAAGAGTACACCTAATGCCCAGTTCTTGACTTTCCAATGCCATTTTCTATGGAAAGAACTAGGGCTCACTGGAGGAATGGCCGATTCCCAGGCTAATGAAGGGAAAACGCAAGATGAACATTTGAACCTGGACAATCTTAGTGTCAAAAAGTAAGGATACGCTTTTTTAAAAAAAAAAGAAACAAAGGCATGTCAAAGCCAGAACAAACTGAACAACACAATAAATAACAACAGTATTAGGTTATAATCCCCCAAATAAAATATACATAAGTCTACACTGATACAATTAAATAATGTGAAGGAACAAATCTTCTGTATAGAAGAATTCCAGTAAATAAATGTAGAAGGGATGCGGGAAACAGAAAATTCCCACGAGAATACCATAGTAATGATTACTGTCGATAAGAATTACTGGTGAATCCCAAAATTAGTGGACAAAACTTTAAGGAGAAAGAGGTCGATCTGAGTTGAAAAATGAAAGTGCACACCAAACACATTTCACCAGAGCACTGCAGTCACAAAGCACTTTCAGAGGAACATCTCCCTTGACCCTTAAAGCAACACTCTGGGTGGTGGGATCCCACTTTACCAAGGAGAGAACCAAGGTGTAGAAAATAAGTACGTTCTCCCAAAATCATGGCTACAGGACAGAGCCAAACCTTGAAGCCAGATCTTCCAAGTTCAATCTCTGTTTCTTTCACTTTACCAGTGTTTGAAGTACCTTGGGGTGAACAGTGGAATACTTTCACCAATTTAAAACCTTTTCTATTTTTATATACTTTATTTTCATTTTCTTCTGTTTGTCTTAGTCGTTTTCATATTAAAATTCTAAGTGAAATATTTAGAAACTTTCTTTTATAGGATTCAAAACCATTTACAGCAATGAATTTATTTTCTGAGAACTGCTTTATCCACATTTCACAGATTTTGATATGTAAGTATTTTCATTGTTGAAGACTATCTATTTTTAAGATTTTTGACCGTAACACGGTACTTTCACAATATATCTTTAAAGAATCGTTAAGTGCTAAATTGCTATTGCATCATTTACATCATACATTTACTTTACATCGAGTAAATTTTATAAAGTCAAAATATAATATATTATACATATATGAAATTCTTGACCTTCTTGAACACTACTCATGAAAATAAACAATTCTTAATAACCTAACTAGTTGGTTGGACACAGTGAAAACATAGCAAATTGTGCCTGAAATCTCCCCGGGGAAACTGCAAGAAAACACACTACTCTATGATCAAAGATGGGTTCACAGTCTCCCGAGCTACCTTGTAAGTGTAGCTTAGTAAATAAAGAAGCCCTAACAAGAGCCATCAATTCTACCAGAAAAAAAAAAAAAAAAAATCCAATGCAAAGGTCTTACTATCAACGGATGTAAAGCACACGTCTGGCAGAATTTGAGGCCCCAGTGGACCACAGCAATCTAAGTGAACACAACATATGTACCTGTTCTTCATGAGGCGAACCTCTCTCTTCCGTGCTGCTTCTTCTGCAGGCTGTGTAGGAAGTGCTGGAGACGAGGCCATAACAACGCCGGGGGCAATAGTGCTCGTGGGTGCTGTGCGAATCTGGTATGTCTGTACATCTCCAGAGGCAGCTGGAAAGAAGAACAGGGAGCATGGTGTAAGGCTGAAACACCGCCCCTTGACTCAATGGTGTACCAATCATCAGTCTTAGCACAGATTTTGGATTAAAAGGCAAACAAAAAGAACAGGTGATTCTGGCTACAATGCTGAAACAATCAACACACTGTGGGCCATTACTAAGAAATCATTCCCAACTTAAGGTATCTATTAGCATACACACTTGGGCGAAGGAGGTCTCAACCTATGTCTGCTGGGTCTTATATTTATCTTTCACTGGAATGCAGCTCTATTCTGTTGTTAACATGCTTACCAACCTTTTAAGTCTAAAAGGTAAGTAGGGCACAGCTTGGATGATCTTCCTAGATATAGTCCTCAATGTCTTCCTTTGACTTTGGTAAATTCATATTAAAAAATTTCAAGCAGACTCTTGCCACGACATAAAAACGACCATGATTTTTCATAAAATAGCAAAATGGAAGAGAAAATAAAGCATTATGGTCAACTACTGTAAATTTCTAATTGAAACAAAACTGAAAGTATGAAAAAGTGCACCAACTGATGCCAATTATTTGATCTGTAAACATATTGTTTCAATTTAAATGGCTAAATAAACTGAAGTTCTAATTTTCTAACTAGCTGACCCACCATTTGTGAAAAGAAACACAATCACTATGTGCCAAACTGCTTCTAAAAATAGGTTGATAATATATGATCTTCTAGGAATAAGAAACCTATCATTATTTAAGAAAATTTGAAGGTCTTTAAAAAATTATTCATATTCGTTATTAATATCAATTAAAATGTGTAGTTTGAGTGGAAAAGATTTATATACTAAACATGTTACCATCTTCAAACTGACGTTCAGAATTCAAATTCACTGACATCCTGCTTTACAATTTTTGAGTACCTGCATGTAAAGTGAAAAGGTGTTTTACTCTCATCAATAAGCAAAGTATTCTCTTTTTCAAATATTTGTTCAGTAACAGACTATCTTCTGTAAATACATTAGAGATCTTTAAATACGTCACAATTCTCTCTAGTTGGTGTTTTAGGGTTATTCCCAAATTATTACCCATGACGAAGGGATACAACTATCATTACCTTACACAGGCAAAATGCATTGTTATCTATGAAAGTATTTTCAGGAACAAATTTAGTACTATTCCTTCTATCTGCAAATCTCTAATCTGGCACTAACTACATTCTTGAGCTATTCAGGCTGGGCGTGGTGGCTCTTACCTATAATCCCAGCACTTTGGAAGGCCTAGGTGAGAGGATTGCTTGAGCCCATGGGTTCGAGACCAGTCTGGGCAACTTGGTGAGACCTCATCTCTATAATAAATCCCCCCCCCAAAAAAAATTAGCTGGGCATAGCGGCACATGCCTGTAGTTCCAGCTACTTGGAAGGCTGAGGCAGAAGGATCACCCGAGGCCAGCAGGTCAAGGCTGTGGTGAGCATGCCACCGCACTCTAGTCTGGGTGGCAGAACTCCAGCCTGGGTAATAGAAACTCCAACTCAAAAAAAAAAAAAAAAAAGAAATACTCAAATGAATTCAAAGAATGGCCAACTCCTATCCATAAGATTCCTGAAATAAATACCAGAAAACAAATGGAATCAACAACTACAAAAGAAAACAACAACAACAAAAAAGTAATTTCTGTAATTCATCAAGGATTTAACCACTACTTTTTCTCTAAAGACTTTAGATTTGCATACCGGTATAAGATCTTCTGGAATACAATGTTTCCATTAGAAATTAAAACTGATGTTCTTAGAAAAGAGGATCTAAGTTTCTTCTGAATAAAAAGCACAGAGAACAAAATCCTGAACCTCCAAAGATTCTTATCAGTGATTAGTCCAGCTCTCATTTGACACATGAAAAAATTTAGACCCAGGGAGGTTGGGTCTTGTTCAAGGAAGGTCACACAGCAGACCTAAGCAGTGCCAGGTCTAAAACCCACCTTTCCTAACTCCTGCTGTCTTTGTCCTTCCTTCTAACCTGCCCTGGTTCTCCAACCCCAAGTACTAAAGTTGTTAAGGTAGATGTTACTTTTAAAAACTGAAAATAGTTGTTTTTATGCCATGACATTTTGGTCCAATTGGAACAGCAGAAGAGTTCATGGAAAATATCATCTATCTTGATTACACTGAAGAAAAAATTAACTACAGTTCAACATCTGCAATATGATACTTACTTTTTCTGTGTTTATAAAATTTTAGTATTTCATAGAACTTACCACACCTGTGAATTCTGACTTCCCTTACCTTGTACAACAACTTGGTTGCTGGGCACTAAGATCTGCTGTCCATCCGTAGTCTGTGCATACTGCAGAATTGTCGTGCCCGGCTGTGTGGCGGCTGCACTGGTCATGGTGAGTGTTTGCAGCCCCTGCACCCCATCCGTACCATTGTTAGCCAGCTGTATTGCTCCTCCCTGGGTAATGGCAACTAAAACCCAATGGATTTTATGGTTACTAGTTTAATTAATACCATTTGAGACTTTAAAACACACTTAGTCCAATGCAGGCTAGTTTGTAAGACAACCTGGGAGAATTACAGCAGATCATCACCCAGAATCTGGTATACTCAAACAACCTGTTGCTCAGGAAACCTACGTCCAGCTTCAACAGTAGAGATGTACTCTATAAACGATACTATTTTTTATTATAATAATGCCTGTGAACAATTTTTAAAAAACAGGTCAGAAAAGTTATTTCTTTTGAAGTAATTTGGTTCTGAGGACGTTGCACTTCGTGATTCCTTCATTTTAGCATTAGTGTATCAATTGTTTTAGTATTTGCTGCCCCACTAGTAAATTTCTTGAGGGTAGAAAATGTGATTTTTCTACTCTACTTTCATGTACTTGGCAAAGTGGCTGGTACCCAATAAATCGTTGTTTTAAAGTGTAATTAATAAAGCAGTTCATCAGTGCACTCTATTCCCTAACTCTTCTAGATAAACCAGTTTTGATAAACTGTATCAAAAGACCACTCAATGAAACAACAGATATATTCTATGGAACTTAGTTATCAGAGAATCCATCATGGAATTTACAATCACAGCTCAAGAGCATCACTTAGAAAAAAATATTTCACTCTCATTTCTTTTTTTGAGTTGGAGTCTCACTCTGTTGCCCAGACTGTAGTGCAGTGGCCTTCCGCCTCAGCCTTCCAAGTAGCTGGAACTACAGGTGCGCGCTACCACGCTTGGCTAATTTTTTGATTTATTGTAGAGGTGAGGTCTCGCCAAGCTGCCCAGGTGGGTCTTGAACCCGCGGGCTCAGGCAATCCACTCACCTCAGCCTCCCAAAGCGCGGGATTACAGGCTGAGCCACCGAGCCTGGCTTTCACTGTCATTTCTAAGTTACATACTCAGGCATTCTCATGTTGGATCCTGTGTGTTTATATCATAACTAACCACACTCACCATTCATTTGTTACAAAATGAATCAGTCAATATTTTCTCATGCTAGCAGGCATTCCACTTTATAAAAAACAGAAATAACTTTTATGTTACACTATATTAAAAAGTTAATTTAAAAACAGATCATTATTGTATGTGGAAGAGCCAACCTTCTGGATACCAGTGTTGAGCTGGGTGACTGCTTCTTCCCCAGACAGTTCTCCCTGCTGTGGTCAAGCTCTCCAGAAAGAGAAGGCCCCAAAATCACAATATTACATGTAAAACTGCACAGTGGATTTGGACTGAATAAGAAAAAAGTAAACAATGCAAGCAAGTCAACATGTCTAACTTAGACATGTTACTATCTGTTCGAAAGGAATTAGTTTGGAGTCCGTTGTTAGTCAGCTCTGGGTAATGAGAATATCCTGAGTCATCTGCACATGAAAAATTGATTATCCATCGCTTAATCAAGAAATAAGAAGAGTTAATGACTATGGTGTGATTAGTTTAGCAAAATGATACTTGAGGAAATAAAGACACTGGCACGTACAATCTATCCACTTTAGCTAATCCCAGAAACTTTACTTATCTTAGACATGGGGGAAAAAATGGAATAAGAACTATTCTAAGACTAATTTTGCACGATTACTTGAAAGAATCAGAAGATCAACAGACTCAAACCACAATTTCTTTTACAGAGTTAATAAACTCAACTGTACTTAACACACCACTTTCTTCTTGGTACACAGCAGTGAACTCAAAGTGGGAGGAAGGAACCAGTAAACCATGTATGAGATGATTTCGGTTCTAGTTCAACTTCCAGCTCTAATCTGCTATTTGAACCTGTTATCTCTTCTGTAGAAAATAAAAGCTGCTGATTCCAGCTATGAGGTACAATTATAATATCAAATGAGGTTAGGTATATAAAAGTACTTTGAAAACTGATGTCTAATCCTATTAAACATGGTTTTTCTCTAGAGTTTTTATCAATACTCTTCATTATTCCAAACGGATGTGTGGCAGCTTTCTAAAACCAAATTCATTCAAACAAAAATAGACTAATAAACAGATACAATTAAACATAAACTCAGCTGAGAATCTGAGCAGTCAGAATAAAGAGGCAATTGTAAGTTGTAGTTTTATTTAGTGAAACACAAAATTCAAGTTCAAAGTAAAAGATCCATGTTTTCCTGTTAGGAGTAGAACCCCTAACAAAACTTTACTACCTGGAATAGTGAACTGAGTAATGGATCCATTTAGTATAAGCATGAATACATGAGCAACCATGAAAGGAATGCAAACAGATGCATCTACCTCAAGGGCAACGAGGAGAATGTGCTTTAACTCTGTCCCACTCATGAAACAGTCCCACTGAGGCCCTGCAGAAGGATGTCAAATGGCAAGTCTGAAACAGTGGCAATGTCCTCAGTGTTCGTCAGCAGAAGCATGTTTGAATACAGATTATCTTTACTCAGAAGCACGATGGAACTGTTACAGAAAAAATGCATATAGCTATATGTGCATGTCTATACCTATGGTTATGAATAATGTCAGCTGTCCCTGTGTAAAAAAGCACAACGACATGTACACAATAGTATGTGCACAATGGAAAATAACTGAAGAACATGCTCTTACTACTGGGGACTTATAAAAAGGGTTCTTACTTTTCACTAATATTATAAACCTCCAGTATTTTGATTTCAGCCACCATATATTCCCATTTTTTTTGAGTTGGAGTCTCACTCTGTCGCCCAGACTGGAGTGCAGTAGCCGCTCCCGGCCACTGCAGCCTCAACCTGCTGTGCTCCGACAATCCTTCCAAGTAGCTGGAACTACAGGCACGCGCTACCACATCCGGCTAATTTTTTATTTATTGTAGAGATGAGGTCTCACCAAGTTGCCCAGGCGGGTCTCGAACCCGCGGGCTTAGGCAATCCACTCACCTCAGCCGCCCAAGGCACGGGATTACAGACTGAGCCACCGAGCCCAGCATATATTCCCTTTTTAAGTTAAGAAACATATATAAATGTTACTGTATATGTGAGTATTTATTATGTTACCTCTTAATAAAAATCAAGAACAACCTTAAATCAGTTCCATCAAAGTCATATGTGCACGTACAGAGAGGACAAGGGGTAAAGATGATGAATACAACTTTGAAAACTTTAATATATTAATCTCTTAAAACTAGCGATTTTCCACTCCTAGAGGAGTCGGGCGCACCAAATTTGGCATCTAGAGGGACAGTGGTACTTCTCTAACCTTTACATCCCCTTTTCAGATTCGGATAGGCCGCTTTCCTAAACAGCTGCTTTCTAGTTTAAGTGAGAATCCGCAACAGAGAGAACCTCTCTGACTGACAGGAGCATGTTGTATTCCTCAGGTACGCTGAAGTGGAGGAAAAGTAAAGCGCAGGCATCAATGTCTTAGAACATAAATCTTGAATAACAATCTGGATCTGAGTCTATCAAACTGAAAACACACACACACACACACACACACACACACACACACACACACACACACACAGATATACCTCTTTCTCTCTACCACAAAGAATTTAAGGAAAAAGATGACTGAGCTCATTGAGCTTAGTGGGCAAAAAGTTTAGTCAAAGATATTTCCTTCTACTTACTCTTAGAAATTTCAGCTTTGGGGGAGCTAAAAAGTTTGCTACTTCAGACTCTGTTTTTAACACAGTTGGATGCAAATTAAGAGTTAGGCAAAACAAAGCCGAGCTGGAACTAAAAAACTAGTAACCTGGGGGTCAAGCTTTTATACACATTTCTGATACGGATTATGGTACTAGAAAGCGAATGCAACCTAGGAGTTTCAATTTGCAATCAGGGTGGGGGTGGGGACTATATATTGGGCAGTGGAATGTTTAATGAACAAACCAAAATGAAGAGGCCAACGATAAATGAGGCACTCTGAAAGGCCGAGGAACAGGGAAAGGAGGGACAAGTGCCTTTGAGCAAACAAAAGCAGGATTTCAAGGTACTTCCTAACAGATTTAGGTGAAGACAGGAGGTAAGGGAGAAGAATAGAGACCTAAGTACCAGATAGAGACATCAGAGAAATGAAAATGCTGATAATTTTCCAGGAGAAAGCTTGGCTTTCTGTGAGCCAAAAATCAACCTGTCTTGCTAATTTCAGCAGTCCTTGTGGTTACATTATCATAACTCATTCTACATGAAAAGAAACATCATTGAATGCGCTGGCAGACTACAACCAAGCCACCCCACCCCACTTGAAACATCAAATACGAAGATTTTAAAGTTCTACATTTAGAAAAGAAGACAAACTGCTAAAGTGAACAACAGTGAGACTGCTATTGGCCTTACATCCAAGTACGATTGTTTGCTCTGTCTGAAAAAAACCCACGTTCTCCCTTAACACACACGAGAACTAAAAACCAGGGTTTTGATTTGTGGCTCAAAAAACTTCTGACTCTTCATGCATCTGCACTAAACAAGGGAACACCTAAAGGTTTACACACCTGAGTGATCCTGACTAAAACTTGGAGGAAAAGAAAACGCTTCCATCACAGACCTTTGTATCTTGAAGAGGAAAGGAAACACAATAACGGCAGCAAGACTGAGAAAAGACTGGGTGCTTGCAGATTCCTTTAACGAGAATGCAGCCATTAGATCTTCTTCTCACTTTTAAAAACAGACATTGTTGATTACTCACTATACTGTCCACTGCTGGTTTGGTAAATCGGAGTTGGCACCGTGACAGTAGTGATGGCAGGTGCTGAAGTCTCCTCTTCGGACTTCTCTTCTTCAATCCTTGGCACTCCTGGTGCATCAGAAGATAAGTCATTCAAAATTTTCCTAAAAAAGTAGAGAGCTAGATTAATTAAAAATGTATGTAAAATTTACTGGCTAACTACCAGTAATCATAGTGAGAGATCAGGAAATTGGCAGAAAGCTACCAGTGCTGAGGACAGATGTTTACAATGTGTAGTTACAAGAGTAAATGAAGGGTCAGGGGCTGACCTCTATGTCAAAAGGAACTCAAATAAGTATTTTAATAAAAGATTTTCTTTAACCTTCCTGAATGTAAGGAAAGGCTGAATGTGACACACAATCCAAGTGCAATTAAAGAAAACACTAACCACGAAGACTACATTTAAAAAAGTCTTCTGTTTCTCAATGAACACCAAAAAAAAAAAGGGTCAAAAATCATCCACTAACTAGGAGAAAACATTTACATGTGTCACAGATCAAGGGCCAATATCCCCAACATATAAAGAACTCTTAAAAATTAAGGGGGGGGAGCCGGGCTCGGTGGCTCAGCCTGTAACCCCACGCCTTTGGGAGGCTGAGGTGAGTGGACTGCCTGAGGCTGCGGGTTCGAGAACCTGCCTGGGCAACTTGGCGAGACCTCATTTCTACAATAAATCAAAAAAAAAAAATTAGCCGGGTGTGGTAGCGCGCACCAATAGTTCCAGCTACTTGGAAGGCTGAGGCGGAAGGATCGCCGGAGCCATCAGGTCGAGGCTGCGGTGGCTGGGAGTGGCCACTGCACTCCAGTGTGGGCGACAGTGAGACTCCAACTAAAAAAATAAAAAAGTAAAAAAAAAAATGAGGAGCCGGGCTCAGTGGCTCAGCCTGTAATCCCACGCCTTTGGGAGGCTGAGGTGAGTGGATTGCCTGAGCCCGCGGGTTCGAGACCCGCCTGGGCAGCAAGACCTCATCTCTACAATAAATCAAAAAATCAGCCGGGCGTGGTAGCGCGTGCCTGTAATTCCGGTTACTTGGAAGGCTGAGACGGAAGGATAGCCGGAGCCCAGCAGGTCGAGGCTGCGGTGGCCGGGAACGGCCACTGCACTCCAGTCTGGGCGACTGAGTAAGACTCCAACGCAAAAAAAAAAAAAAAAAAAAAAAATGAGGGAGGAAAAAAGACCAGAACTTCATTTTTAATGTCTCAATTCTCACACTGGTAAAAATGAAAATAATGCAATGATATATCGTTAGCAAAGTTATGAAAAAAACAGATATTCTCAGTACATGGCTGCTGGAAGTGTAACACTGGTATTCATGACATTGACAGAAGGAACTTGGCAACATCTAAGAAACCACATGTACTGATGCATCAATTCCACTTTCAGGAATTTTCCTTACTTCTGACAGCACAAAAAATACACCTGCTGAAGGTTGTTGACAGCAGCACTGTTCATAATTGGAAAACACTGGACACAGTCTGTGTGCCCACAGAGTGGGTGAATAAACTACAGTACATGCGAATGATGGATACAGCACGGAATCTGAGGTTAAAGAGTTTAGACCCCCCTAAGGGTAGGTGGAGAAGAAGTGAAAAGGAGAAAAGGGAGAGGGGGGCGCTAGTAACTTTGCTTTGTTGTACAATTCTTTTGAAATAGTGTTAAATGTTTCACGTACTAACAACAAAAAAACTAAGATAAACTTTAAAACAGAACACAAAAATGAATGAAATATACCATATTTCAAATGAATAACCTAATCACAATGAAGAGAGAAAGACCCGACCCAAGTAATTTTTGGTATCCTAAATTTATAACACGAGTCTGAATTCTACATTTAGCTTCAGCAGTCTACCAATGCTCCGTCCTTTTATGTTACGTTATAATTTTATGCCTTTGTTTTTCCAATCAAATAGGGAAAAAGGAGTTACAACCAAAACTATAATAATACTGGCTTTTTTATTACGTATATAATTACCTTTACTAGTAGTAAAGAAAATTTATCTCTCTTTAAATACTTTCATTTCTGTTCATTTCCCCCTCTGCAAATACTCCAAGTGCTTCTTGCCAGAGCATCTCACTCCGTTCTCCATGGCTTTTTACCCGTTGCTCCCATTTTCTATCTGTTTCTGTTCCCCATTCTCAGTCGTTTTCTCAATCCTCTTCCAGTCTACCAAGTCTCTCAATCAGAAACTTGTATTAGTTTGCCTGTTTATTTTTAAAACTCCTATAAATGTACTTCTATTTCCTATTTCTAAGATTTGTTATTGGTGCTTTTCTACCTCCTGTTCTTCCTGCAAAGATACTTTTCTTTTATCTTTTTTCAAATGAGAAACGTAACTGGTCTAAACAGCTTGGAGCAGGTCAACAGATCACATGCTTTGGGAGGCTCTATTATAGAGCCATATTTCTGAAGCTTCAGCAAGCAAAAGTAGTACTTAGAGAATAGGTTAGAGCTGATGCCTGAGTACCCACTCTAGAATCTAACCTATTAGGTGTGGCCCGGGGCCCAAGAATTTGCACACCAAACCAGAGGCTGGTTTGCAGTCAAGTCAGTAGACCACATTTTAAGCAGTACTGGATTCTAGAGCGATGCTTTTCAAACTAAAGACACAATTCACATGTGAGTCATAAAAACAATTAAGTGTGGCCTGGTGCAATGTCTCATGTCTGTAATCCCAGCACTTTGGGAGACTGAGGCGGGAAGATCTCTCGAGCCCAAAAGTTCGAGACCAGCCTGGGCAACATAGCAAGACCTCATCTTTACAAAAACTTTTTTAAAAAGTTAGCCAGGAACGATGATATGCACCTGTAGTCCCAGCTACTTGGGAGGCTGAGGCAGAAGGACCGCCTGGCCCAGGGGGTCGAGGCTGCAGTGAGCTGTGACTGTGCCACTGCACTCCAGTCTGTGTGACAGAGACTCCAACTCAGACAAACCAATTAACCAACACGACAGAACAACAAATAAAAAATAGCTGAACAGCACACACGAAAAGGGTTTAGTACTGCTTTGTGTAACTTTTGCTTCAGCTGTCTACAGGTGTATATGTACATAAGTGAGTATGCACACATATGTAGACACGAATATAATTTATATATGTGTGCATTTATGCATATGGAAAATATGCATCTGCTTCTTCGTTCAAGAAAAAAAAATTTTAATTTTAGAATTAAATCTAAAGACATAGCTCTTACTGGACTATGGTCGGTCAAAAGAGTTTAAAAGCTACTAGACCTACAAATAAACCTCCTCTTTTGCATGCCCATACAAACATATGAAGTGATTATTCTTAGTTTTCTCTTTATAGTTTTTCAAATTATTGCTCTCTAGATCACCTTGGCCACCTTCCCTGGGTACAGGTCACTTCCTGGAGTATCAAAAAATATTCCAGATGTAGTGTGAGTGGTAGGAGTAATTCCCTCCCTTAATCTGGATTCTAGGTCTTTGCCAATGTAGCTTTACAGTGCACTGGCTTTTTTGACAACCATATTGTATCAGTAATAATTAAAGAGCATAATTATCTTTTTCAAATGAATTCCTAAGCCAGAATCTTATAAGTGAATAACTAGTTCTGTTTCAGACTCAAGTTCAGAAACTTTACGATGATCACTATCATTTCATTCTATTTGTTTTTACTTCCCTCGGTTGCTGTGATCTTTCAAAGTACTTATGCTCTCATCTATGAGGGTACTTACCCCTTAGGGTTCTGTCATTTGCAAATTTGATAAGCATGGCTTCTATGCTTCTCAACTAAATTGCTGGTGAAAATAAGTCAAATGAAACCAAGTAGACAGCCCTTCAAGAACATCCCTGGATATAAATCAATCACTATAGAAGTGGGTTGTTCCAGTAAGAATCCATCTTGTATTACCCTTAATCTCCGTTTCTCCAACTTTGCAAGCATATTTTAAGAACTGTATTAAATATTTTGACACAGAAGGTAGGGTTTCAGAAATGTATAAACTTGAAACAAAATGACAATAACTCAGTGGGAAAGTTTGATTCTAGAGGAAGATACCATTATCCTTCATGATAGCAGTCCTTTCTCTACGTGTGTGTGGTCTCATGGCATCTTTCACTTGATTATTAAGGTTATTTAAACAACCTTTGCTAAGATTTAAGTCTGCATACCAACTAAAGCAAATAAAAGATTTTTTTCTAGTAAAGAGCTCATATTTTATAAGGCCTACAGCTAAGATATGCTTAGAATCTATACAGAGAAGTGATACCTGGTTAGATTTGCTTCAGGAACATGAGATATACTCCAAAGTTAAAATTTAACACTAGCTATATTTAAAACAAAAGAATTATGAGTATAAATCTGTACAGCATATACCTGATAACATAAACTTCTTTTGAGTTACCTTGACAGTAACTCAAGGTGAAGACATGAGCAGCTAACTGGTTTTCTGACATCTCTCTACCTGCAACTTCTCAAAATCCTATTCACTTAGAATCCTTAATTTAACTGTAAAGATAGAGAAAAGGGTTGGTTTGGTAGCCAAGTAAGTGGAGGAAAAAAGAAATCAACCATTGCTTTGAAAAATAAGACTATACATACATAGAATTAATTTAGACTAACAAAAAGGAAGACAATTATGAGTTTGAAGTTTACTGAATTCTGAAGTAAGTTTATTGAGATTGTGCTGCTGCCCTTTCTGAAAATATTGACTATGAAACTAATTTCTACATATTTTTTTTATTTTTTCTGAGTTGGAGTCTCACTCTGTTGCCCAGACTAGAGTGCAGTGGCACGCACCCGGCCACTGCAGCCTCGACCCGCTGGGCTCCGGCGATCCTTCCGCCTCAGCCTTCCAAGTAGCTGGAACTACAGGCGTGCGCTACCACAACCGGCTAATTTTTTGATTTATTGTAGAGATGAGGTCTCGCCAAGTTGTCCAGGAGGGTCTCGAAGCCACAGGCTCAGGCAATCCACTCATCTCAGCCTCCCAAAGCGCGGAATTACAGGCTGAGCCACTGAACCTGGCTCAATTTCTACATATTAAAAAAGGTTTGAGTCTACTTTGGAGACAAGGCCGGACTAGGCAACCAGATAATTGAACATAAAAACTATAGTGAGGTATCCCTAAAATTAGGTGATGTTAGCAAACCATCGCCCTGAGACAGCTATTAAATTAATAAGTAGTTATCTACTAAGTACCATAGCATAAAAACAGTTTGCAAATGTGTGACTAAGTAGGTAAATGATATAGCCTCAGAACCGGCTTATAACTAAAAACTGCTCTAACTGTATCAAGTGTACTCCAAATTTTTTAACAGAAAGGCAGGAGCCAGCATAGTCTACAAAAGCAGAAACAAAAATGTCAGAGTTTATTCAGGACTGCTGTGAATAAGAAATGCTCTGAATTCCGTACAATAAGCTTCAATGTATTTGGGACAGTAACTCAAGGTGAAGACATGAGCAGCTAACTGGTTTTCTGACATCTCTCTACCTGCAACGAGCCAAGGCTTCCTGCATCTTTTATTCTACTGCACTCCATACCTGTAGGAAGGCCTCCTGGAAAGAATTTCCCTTCGTTTCTGGGAATCAGTTACACTATCCACTGACTCCTGTGAATCTTCACTTTCTGCAATTGTTGAAATCTGAAAATAAAGAAGAACTTTATCTTGATAATCAAATTTAGTTCCCAAAAAATTTTAAGAAAAAGTCAAATACAAAAGGATATATAATCCTTGTACATGCTTCAGTAGAAAAAAATCATTTTTTATGGAGACAGCCCCATCAACCACTCTCTCCCCGCTTTACTTGCCCTACAGACTTAAGATGGTATCAGAGAGCCTGCAACAGCTGCAGCTTAATGTTTTTCAGGACTCCACATAATCAATCCTGAGCACATCAGTGTCACCTGTCAGCTTTTCCTTATACTGGGGGTACAAAAAAAATGTATACACATTTTAAGAGACGTTTGCTATAAACAAAAGTGTCTGGACGCGGATGGTGACCATTTCGAGCACCTCTCGTAATGGCAGAAGTCAAACGTGATTTGCGTTCATCTTTTGTAACTGGTATATATTGAGTATTACATTTTAATATCATTTTTTCCGTTCTTAAAAGGCACTTTTCTGGCATCCTCTGTATTTGTTGGGATAAAGGTTTTTGACATGAAGGGATAGGATGAATGACTAAACATGTGATCACAAGTCTATACAGTGACTGTAAAGATACTTCCTTTAACTGCGTGAGCACGTATGAATGCACTTACAATTGTGTCAATAAGACTGGTGATCCCTCACCACTTCCCCAACAGTTGTTTCCAGCAAATTAGAGAAAAAGTCGTCTTCTACGTGTATATACGTTTCAAAGTTGGCACTCTACAATTATTTTTAAACAAAAATTCAGGGTAAAGAACTACGTGTTTTGGTAAGATCCCTAGATTAAAAAGCAATGAAGGCGAGTGAATAAAAATTTCACATGGGATATTAGTAATAGAAACTGTAATTTATTGATAACATACTATGTGCCAGGTGCTACGCTAAGCACTTCCACCGATGACATTATCTGATCCACACAGTAACACAGGCGCCAGACGAGCACAGTACTGCCACATCCATGTTACAGACGGAAGAGCCAAAGCACACAGAAGTCAAGGAACTCACCCAAGAAACTGAGCCAGGAGGTACTGGAGGCCTGCCATTACTTAGCACCTCTGCCTTAGACATGCACACCAGCCACAAACCCTGGAGGTTCTAGTCGCAAACCAGACCATTCCAGTTTCGAAGGAGCAGGTGGTGGCCCCTTTAGGCATGTGTAGATTAGAAGAATGTTTGTCTGTGTTATGTACTCTGCCCAAGTTTCTCTGGTCCAGCTGGCAGGAGTTGTGCTCTTTCCTCAACTGAGTGCACACAACGCCGTCAAACTGAGAAGTCTACTGAGCCAAGACAAGGTCTTGTGGGCTCGCTCCATGTCAAAACATATGGTAACAGCAGTAAGAAAAAAACGTATGCAGAGGGAGCCCATGGGTTCTGGAGAGTGGGTGTTCACTCTGACAGGGCTTTGTGCTAAGCATGCTCCCTCTAAAGTGAAACTGGGGGACTCTAGCAACTCTTAGCAAAATATACCTATAATCAAGTAATGTGTGCCCCATTCAAACACTTTAAAGTCTAGAAGTTCAGCCTGAAAGACCTAAACATGATGAATCCGGAACTGACCCACTAGACAGTCTCGGCACAACTTTCTCACAGATGCAGAGCAGATCCGGAACTAAAAAAAGGATCTCGCGAGCGTCAGAAATCCAAGGAACAGCAACAAGACAGCTCCAAGAGGACAGTACTGTGACAAGTGTCATTTCCCGCGTCTGCTCAGCCCATCCACGGCTCCTCCTCTCTCTGCCCTGCCCCATCCATACCCCCTCATCTTAAAGACACAGAACAAGCCGGGCTCGGTGGCTCAGCCTGCAATCCTGCGCTTTGGGAGGCCGAGGTGAGTGGACTGCCTGAGCCCGCGGCTTTGAGACTCGCCTGGGCAACTTGGCAAGCCCTCGTCTCTACAATAAATCGAAAAAAAAATAATAATAATTAGCCGGGCGTGGTAGTGTGCGCCTGTAGTTCCAGCTACTTGGAAGGCTGAGGCGGAAGGATCGCCGGAGCCCAGCAGGTCGAGGCTGTGGGGGCCGGGAGCGGCCACTGCGCTCCAGTCTGGGCGACGGAGTGAGACTCCAACTCAAAAAAAAAAAAAGAAAAAAGACACAGAACATCCCTTTCTAGGGCGAAACTCATTCAGGCGATACTGAAATAGGCCACAAAAACTACCTACAGGATAGTTTTGAAATAAAATAATGCTGCTTTTTATCTGTGATCTTTCTTTCTTTTTTTTTTTTTAAACACAATGCCTCTATGGCTCTTAAGTAGAAAAAAGGTTGTTCTCTGATCTAAAAGATTTTGTCAATTCAGACAGAAGAAATTCACTTATTACTATTTAGTGCTTTTAACTTTTCAAATGTTTAAGAGAATTCAGAACTATTCAATACCACATAATGCATGTAATATTTCCTCTTTGGAAATACTATCTGAAGAGGAGTAAACCATGAGCCAACTCCTACAGTTTCTCTCAATCTGCCATAGAATGTGCCAACACCAAGAATGGAGCCTAATGTAAGCGATGGACCTTAGGGGATTATGATGCGCGAATTTAGGGCACTTAATTATAATACAAATGCACCACTCTGGAGGGGTATGCTAAGAAATGGGGAAAGCGGGCAAGCCCCCTGGGTCCCCTCCCACTGTGGGAGCTTTTCTGTTCTCTCAATAAATCCTGCTTTCAAAAAGAAAAAAGAAAAAAAAATGAGGAAAGCTATGCATGTAGGGGGCAGGGGGTATATGCGAAATCTTGGTACCTTCCTCTCAATTTTGCTGTGAACCAGAAACTGCTCTTAAAAAAACAACAACACTAGATCCACATTTCTGAGACTAATAAAAACCCAGTTTATAAAAAATTATCATCATTCAATAGATTAAAGTAACCATATGAAAAATGATATCCCCACTGTAAGGATCAAATACTAACATCACATTCCAGTGATAGAACCCATTCCTTTGGTCCTCATCTCCGGTCACTCCTCTTACTGATCCTTCCAGGTTCCTCAAATTCATCTTTTATTTTGATCACTGGTAAGTCAAGAGATTTTTTTTTCTCTTTTAACTTTTTTATTTTAAAGGTGTGGGGTGCAATTCAGGGTTAGAAATTTTCAAAGAGCCAAACTACCACTTGTACACATAAAGCTTTAGATCTGTATTTCTCAACTTTGGTTTGTTTAAAACGTATACCAACTCTTTGTAAGGGTAGAAAAACTACTTTGATTACCAGAAATTTCAAAATAAACTACACAGTGACTAGAACCAAATCAAAACAATGGCTAATATTGGATGCTTTCTTTCGTTCTTTCTTTTTTAATGTTATTTTAAAGATGTGAGGTGCAATTCAGGATTAGGTACATAAGTGGTCATCATATAGGTGAAGTTTGGGTCTCCAACTGATCCTCACTTCACCTTATTTCGCCTGATTTGGGTACCCTTATATTGCTATATGTCCCCCCTCCCCGCCATTAGATGTTTTCTAAACCTTTACATGGTCCCCTGAAACTTAAGTACTTTCTCTGCCTCACTTCACTCAAACCTGATCTTCATAAGACTCGTGGTTAAGATAATATCTACTCATTGGATCAAGAAGCTTAGTAAAAGTCGACAGCAGTGATCTTTAAACTTTTTTGATCTGCAGGTATCCTTTATAAATAAAACAAGTTTACATAAGCGTGTATCTTATTTGTAAATTTTAAGTATATTAATTATATAATAAAACAATAACTCTTAAATAGGATAAATATGAATATTCAAATTTAATTTCTACATCTCTTAAAGATAAACCATTTACTTTTTCATAATGAGAATGGTCTAATGTAATGCGCTTCATTAAAAGTCACTTAATATTTTAAAATAGTCATTCAGAAATCTGACTCTAAGCTTGGGTTTTTCGTAATGTGATTTAGCACCTGCTTGTGTTGAGAAAGAGAATTCATGACATGTGGATAACAAAAGTAAGTACATTTTAGGCTGTGCCTATTAAGTAAAAGCATTTTTCATTTCATCCACCAATTACGCAAGCTTCCAGTGAGATATATCTGGTGCATTTTCTTCTCCCTGGCTTTAAGTCAGTTCACTGCATGCTAATAGGAAGGTGTTACAGTTTCATACATTTATTTGGGTCGGAGTCTCACTCTGTCACGCTAATAGGGTGTTACAATTTCTTATCTATCTATCTATCTGTCTATCTATCTATCTATGTCAGAGTCTCACTCTATCGCCTAGGCTGGAGTGCAGTGGCATGCTCACAGCCACCTCAGCCTTGACCTGCTGGGCTCAGGTGATCCGTCGGCCTCAGACTTCCAAGTAGCTAGAACCACAGGCATATGCCACCACGCCCGGCTAATTTTTTGATTTATTATAGAGACAAGGTCTCACCAAGTTGCTCAGGCTGGTCTTGAACTCTATTACTCAGGTAATTCTCGCACCTCCACCTCCCAAAGTGCTGGGGTTATAGGTGCAAGCCACTGTGCCTGGTTTGAAGCCTTTGTTTTAAAGCTGGCTAATTATAAAACAGCAGTTAGAACTTAGGTGGCCATATTAAGTTTTAACTATAAGCATGTAATTAAATTCATGTATTTATTTATTTGCTTGCTTGTTTATTTGAGTTGGAGTCACCCTCTGCAGCCCAGGTTGGGGCACAGTGATGTGCTGCTCTGGCCACCATAGCCTCAACCTGCTGGGCTCAGACGATGCTTCCGCCTCAGCCTTCCAAGCAGTTGGAACCACAGGCGCATGCCACCACATCTGGCTAATTTTTTGATTTATTGTAAAGACGAGGTCTCGTCATGTTGACCAGGTGGTCTTGAACCCATGGGCTCAGGCAATTCTCTCGCCTTGGCCTCCCAAAGTGCTGGCATGACAGGCATGAGCCACCACGCCTGGCCACCATTTCACACTTTCAACAAGAAAGTTCAGCACCGACTGAAGTTCCAGAAGACTCTGAACAGCTTAGAAAACTTTCTCTTTCTTAGAAAGCAGGATGTATTGAGAGGACAGAAAAGCTCCCCCAGTGGGAGGGACCCAAGGAGGCTGCCCAGAAAACTCCCTATCCAAGGTCCTAGCAGGGCTTGAGCATCGAGCATCGAGGAGACACACGCACACTTCAAGTCTCATCTCCAGCTGCTCTGCTCCTGGCTTATGTGGCTCCAGTCCCATTTTCTCCTCACTCCCAAGCCTGGGGACTGCGTGGCAGGCCCTTTGTGGCCTGAAGTCTGCTCACGGCGTTCCCTGAGTCGGACACAGCAAGCACCCCCTCCCCTGCCTCCTTCTCCACTCCTTTCCCCCCGGTTCCTCTCTCGGCACTTGCCTTCGTGGATGCACTTTCCTTTCTCACAGCCCATCTCTCTTCACAAGAACAGACGGGTACTATCTGATCACTGTATCTTTCTTCGCACCTAGAACAGTGACTGGCACACAGCATGTGATCAATAAACATCTGGTGAAGGAATGGATGCCATAACTTAAAGTAACGTAAGCCATAAGTCCTCGGTCTGGCACATTTAATCTGCACTGTATTGAAACATGGTCAAAACTAAGGAAGGAAAAGTCAGGATGCCACTGCCAACCCCTACACATTGTGCAACTCCCATTATTTTTGTGAAGCTTCTCAGTGAATCTGCGATGTGACACATATATGGACAAAATTAGGATACCAAAGTCAAGTCACATATGAAATATTAGTACAGCTTAGTTTGTACTATATTTAGATTGAAACATATGAACAGAAGTTCTAGTAACTTACTCTCACATCAAGAGAAATGCACCTTGTGCATTTTGGAAACTTGTTTCAGAATACTAACAGTTCTCCATCTTGAAGTTTGAAAGACCATTCTTCTCAGTGATCATCTCTTCCTATATAAACTACTTCTACTTCTGTTATTAATACTAATCACTACTAATCAGTTAAAGTGATTATTAAAGTTGAACAGATTCTCCATGGTTTAGGCCCTTTGAAGAAAAAAAAAGTAGTGCATTTGTGTCTCTATTTGTAGAATCCAGGGTTCAAGAAGTTCAATTTTTCTTTCACAAATATGTACTCCAAATTAATAAGCACAGCTCACCTTAATAGAAAAATGTGTCCTTTAAAAGATGAATACATATCTCTATAAAGCTAATGGTATATAATCCCCATATTCAAATTATGTTGGCCCAGAAAAAAAGATTAAGAACCTAATCAACAATTAAATATAATCAAAAATTGTAATCCTAGCCAATTTTGTAGCTATAATCTTAGTAATCTTCGTGTATTTTTCTTTTTTTGTAGAAAGACCTTCTTCTATAAGTGAAAAAGAGAGAGTACAGGTTGATGTCCCCAAGGTCGTTTAAACTGGGTCTGAAATCTCCATCTCCTGACTAGCAGATCAAGTTTGTTCCACTATTATCAAGAGGAGGACATGGGGTAGAAAATTACTAATGGCGGAGTGTGGAGAATGGCATGGTCACCATCAATGGAATAAAAACAGAGGCAAAGGACTACTGCTCAACCATTGCGATTTCACAGAAATATCAAATTCCTAGGTTTTGGTAAATGGCCAACACCATCTCCTACTTATTAACAAATTCCACGCCCAGTACCTTGTGGAAATTCATACAACTTGATGATTTCACACAAAAACATTTCTTCTTTTTATCCCCCACTCAAATGTCTAAGCAAATCAAAAGCACAAGAACAGAATGACAGAGGTGGGTAACAGCAGCTCAATGGCTCAACAGCACACAACGGCTGACAAAATCTAGTATGAGGACATTAATAGAATGCTTCCAGGACAAAGAGAGCACTTCTCCCCTCTGTAGACGTCAATCAGGTCTGGTTACCACACTCCAAGGAAAACATGACAGCTCTCACCCAGAAGGAAACAACCAGGACAGGGAAGGGGAACCAAAGTTAAACCATTTGATAAGTGGCTGGGAAAAAAAATAGCAGTTTGTTTAGTCTGGAGATGTTCTTAAAAATGGGAAGTGTGTGGGCGATGGGGAGGAAGCAGTTCAAGAGAAAAGAAATTAGACTTGCTAATCTAGTTTCTGAGACTAGAACTGGGATCACCAGGTAAAAGTTTTAGAAAGATGGGGAAGAAAATATCAGTAATCACTCCTAATTGCAAACAGATTACACCTCAGGAGAAACAGAGTCTTTTCTGAAAGAGTCTGTATAATGCCAGATACCATTTAGAAGAGGGGAGAAATGCTACACAGGAGAATAAGCAATAGACTAAGGGCCAGGTAGGTAACAAATACGATCTAGAAGATCTCTTAAGGTTTTTACTTAAACCTTTAAATTCCATGTTCATAGAGGAAAAAAGACAAAGACATAAAGAACAATTTCTCACCTTCCTTTCTAATAATAGTTCTCTCCGAATCTAGGACCTAGGACTCACCTGTGTTCCGGAGAAAAGTCTTTTTAAGTCCTTACAGGAAGACTGTGAAGCAAAAAATATGAAATGGGAGGCTGGGGTTATGGCCTACTTGAATGAATGTTCAAGTATTTTTTTTCTTTCTTTTTTTCAATAAGCTCAGTTGCAAAGATCTATAGTGCTTCTGGTTTCCTAAAGTTAAGCAGAGAAGTCACCTCCGGAAGTCTATGGTGACTTATTCCCCTTGGATGAAACCGCATGGAACGATCTCTCCAAAGAGTAAGATAACATGCACAGCACAGTCCCTGACCCTTTAAGACGCACCTCCTGAATACATTATTTCAAACTTAATACTATAACTGGAAATTTCACAAATGCTTCATGTGATCTCTAAGTTCAAATAATATCTTAGGTAAGGCTATTAGTTAATTCTGGATCAAGGGTTTATTTCTTTTTCAACCGTAGGTTTAGAATATTATGCCTATTATTTTTGTATCTCAATTTTCCTTAACTGAGGTATACCATCCTTATAGTCTCTCCCAAACATTTCCACTTTATCCCATGTACTTAACCATTTTCCTTCAGAAGTTTAAGAAAAAATCATTTTCTTTTATGTCTGTTCTTGTGCATATATGTTCCTATACATAAGGTGACTACATACAGATGTAACACACTGCTTCATTGTAAAGTAAAACAGACTCTGAACTAGATATGTACTTATTTTCATAACTCATGAAAGGAGAGAGATATGGCTATAAATAACAGTCATTCAAGTAGATGTAGAACATTTTACACACATACCTGAACTGTCTGGACTTGTGGAGACTGAATAACTGATGGCTGGGCCGCCTGAATAACTCCATGGACTTGAACCGTTTGCCCATTGGGCAGCTGAACTAAAGTTACAGTGGGAGCAGATGACGTTGCATGAGCTGCTGGCATAGATACCTGCGGTGTTGAACACAGAAAACATCACCATCACAGACACCTCCTCGGGAGAACAAATGTTCAATATTAAATACCTTTTTAGGAGCAAGAATGTGAACTTGTTGCTACACCAGCATTTCACTGATAGGAAATAAACCAATGATTAAATATTCTTTAAAAAACAAAACTACAAAGAGAGTCAAAGAACTACAGCCCCCACCCTTTTCAGCTCTTCCCAAATGACCAAAAGCAACAGCTATTTTAATGTTCTACTGACAGATTAAGTAATTCACCCAAGGTCCACGGAAATACTAGCCTGGAAGAAACATACAAGTTTTCATGTGTTAAGTCATGTTCCAAAATCTAATTGTTCTCAAACTTAGGGTAAACTGATCTACTAAGGCTAGAATTAAGGCAGCTTGTATGAGTCAATCAATATCCAGGTTGGAAGCGTCCTTAAATCACACATGTCTATCAGATGCTATTTACTGTTGCTATTCTTGAACACGTTCAGGGATAAGAATTTTACTTATTTTCGCGTATTAGCTGAATAGTTAACTGGGGTCTACATGTCAGGAACAATGTTAGAACTGAAACTACAAAAAGGACCCCAACTTCCTTGGGGTCTCTGACCTCAAGAAAATTACTGAGGTGTGTATGTGAAAGGATGGGGAAAAGAGACACAAGTAAACACAAGTCAGTGCAGTAAGGAGGTCTGCACCGTGAAGAGAGAAACAGACATACTGAAGTTACCCCACCCAGTCTAAGAGGAAGGGGGCTACCAGGGAAAAGCGTGAGCTTAAAACAAAGAATAAAAGTTGGCTTACAGGGGAGAGGCCCAGGACTTCAGAAGGAGGGCCGGAGTGGCCAACGCAAGAGAAATGGCATCGCAAGCAGAGGGAGAGCCGGTGGCTCAGCATGTTGGAGCACAGCACCTGGAGCACGTTGGTGTGTGTTACAGTGTGATGCAGAAGCAGGGGAGACACAGTGGTGGGCAGGGGCTGCGTGAGCTAGCCACAGAATGCCTTGTGCATGTGATGTCAAAGAACTTGCATGTTGTCCTGAGGTACTGGGGAAGCCATGGAGGACTTCTGAAGCCCTGAATATCATGGTGAGGTTTGCACTTTGGAGAGAGCACTTCAGTGACCGTGTAAAAGAGACCTATGTCGAAGGGAGAAAAACCTGATGGAGGGAGACCAACTAAGAGAGCCTACACAGCAGTGAAGGTGAGATGACGAAGGCCAAAAATAGAGGAATGGCGGTCATAGGGATGGAATGAGAAGTGATTTGGTGACAATGTGGAAGCTGGCTAGGAAGGGCTTCATGCATGACAGGTCCAAAGAGGCGAGGAGAATCCCAGATGACCACACACACACGTTTCATGTCCGAGACGACGTTGTCACCTGAGAACATGCAAGAAGTAAGGACAGGTTTTTGGGTTACTGGGATTTTCATGGAAGATGCTGGTTTTGATTTGACACCTAAATCTGCAGAGATGCTTAGCAGGCAGTGAAGGGCTTGACTGTGAAGACTGGGGGAACGGTCCCTACTGAAGACAGGCCCGGGCCTCCCGGTTAGCCACGTTCTCACTGGCCACCGCAAATGTGGTCCTGGACCACCTGCATCACGAGTCACACAGGCTGCCCTGTTGGCAAAGTCAGAGTCTAAGAGGACCCAGTGACAATCTCCCCTACACTGAAGCTGGAGAAATATAACCTCAAGGCTATTCAGAGGATCTTATCCCAATTCCATATAAATGCTCTTCTAATGTGTGAGGCACTTAATGATCTCTTCCTCGAGTCTTCTCTGGGGTAAATAAAACAGACTAACTGAATGAATAATTCCTTTTCTACTCTGATCTTTCTACATAATGGCTTCTCTCTGTGTATAAAATATAGATATACAAAAATAAAATTCCATTATATTCTTTCCATTTGTATAGTATACTATTGTGGAAACAATGTTATCTTTAAAATCCATTACAAATATCTTTCTACCATTAATAGTCTTCTAGCCTGTTTTAAAAGACTGTATAATAGAAAAAATTACATAATTTAATAATTTTCTTATTATTATATATTTAGGTTTTCAAATTTGACATGACAAGAAAACTACAATAATCATCTTTTTTTATCAGTATTTTTTATTATGATATTGTGGGGTACAGTTAAGGGTTAGTATACAAATATGCTTCGTTCAGGCACCCTTGTTGATAAGAGGTGTCTCCCCATAATATTAACTTAAATCTATAAAAACTTACATTCTCATATCCAAACCAACAGTTTTTTTTCCAGTTTAAAAAAATTTCTATAAATTCTAAAAGTAAAATAAGGCATGACATTAATGTTTTAGATTGACTTTCTTCCCTTTCTGTGTGGCTGGATTTGTTTTTTCCATTCATTGAACAAATCACAATCATCTTGGGTATGTCTGACCATTTTATTTTCCCAGTATTTAAAGACCAACATATCCCGCGCCTTTGGGAGGCGGAGGTGAGTAGATTGCCTGAGCCCGCGGGTTCAAGGCCTGCCTGGGCAGCGAGACCTCATCTTTATAATAAATAAAAAAATAAAAAAATCAGCCAGACGTGGTAGCACATGCCTGTAATTCCGGCTACTTGGAAGGCTGAGGCGGAAGGATCGCTGGAGCCCAGCAGGTCGAGGCTGCGGTGGCCGGGAGCAGCCACTGCACTCCAGTCTGGGCGACAGAGTGAGACTCCAACTCAAAAAAAAAAAAGTAACAGGAATCAGAACTATGAGAGGAAATTATGTCAAAAACGTATGCTGTATGGGAGTTAAGGCAACTGGATGAGCAAATGAAAAAACTCTGTAACCGGGAATAAAGAAACTTAAAATATATACATAAACATATGCTAGCTTCCCTGCAATGCAAATCTGAGCCTGCCTCTCCCCTTTCAGTACCTGGGGCTAGAGGGCTGCCTGATCAAGCTGACAACTGAACACATGCATATGATTTTGCTCCCTCCTGAACCCCCAACCACCGTTCACAAAACAGATTTCCTTTTTGCAGGAAAAGCCACACAAGCGCAAGAGCATGGAAAGGAGGTCAGAGCAATAGAGCTCTGGAGGCTGGAAAGCAGATGGATGAATGCTAGTGGGAGACCCCAGAAGCCAACTCCGGAGCTGGAGGTGGGAGAAGCCTGCTAGATTCTAGCAGGAGATCAAGAGGCTCGGGACCTACTACACCCTGGAAGGTGGCGCGAAAGAGACTGAAAACAAGGAAGGCTGACTGAAGGTTTTTGGAAAAGCACTTGTATCCTCTCCTCAGCTCCCTGTGGAAGAACAAAACAATACCATCATGGAAAAAAATGGGAGTATTATTCCCTGGAAAGAAGGTCTCTTGACTGCCCAGCAACAGGCGCTGCTTCGACAGGTGGGAACTTCAACCTCAGCCCTCTTCTTTTCTCCCATCAGCAGGGGACTAATGACGCCCTCTCTGGGGAACCTGACCAACACCAGGGGGAAAGACCTACAAGATCCTGGCATCAAGACCACCACCATCAGCCTAGAGTGAAGCGCGCAGCTCACACAGCTGTGAGGCCTCACCCGGAGCTTCCAACACAGCTTTCTGATTCCCTACGTTTAAACCTGAGCAGGCAACCACAAATTGCCAACATTTGAGGAAAGCCTCTCACATCTAAGATGGAGACCCAAACAAATCGAATGTGTGTGTGGGGGGGGAAGGCCATATGGAGGAAAATTCATGGTGGGAGAAGAACACTTAGATGAAAAAAAGAAACAAAAACATTTTATTTAGTATTCTCAGAGATAAGAAAAAAATAATGCCTTTGTGAAAAACAAATAGGATATTATGCAAACATAAAAGGACTTCTCAGAGAAAAAAATAACTCTTGAAAACAGGACAGCAGTAATAAAAGAAATTCAGCAGATAGGCTGAAAGGGATTGAGGAAATCTCCCAGAAAGTAGCGCAAAAAGACAGAAAACAGGAGGAAAAGATGAAAAAGCAAGAGAAACAGTCCTAAAGGTATAATACCCAGATATAATCACAAGGATCCTAGAGTGAAACAAGAAAAAAAATTATCCACCAAATAATTTAAAGAAACTGCCCAGAATAAAAGACACGCATTTCCATGACAAAAGGGCCCCCTGAATACATAGCAGGGCACAAAAAGTGATCTAAACCAATGTCTACCATAATGAAGTTTTGAAACACCATGAAAAAGACATTTCACAAGATACCAGAGATAAGAAAGGAATCTAATAACAACACAAGAAAAAGCTGACTGTGGATCAAATCTTTTAAAACTCCAAAAAAAAAAAAATTACCAAGAATTATTCACCCAGTTAAACCTTCTCAAGAAACCACTGAAAAACATGCTTTACCACATCAAAAATATAAACCTCACAAAAAAGACAATAGAGTGAAAGGAATTCCCAGGATGACACCACAAAACAGACTTAGAGGACAACCCAACCAGACAGAACAGAGTGACCCAAGAGACAGCCATGTTGAAGACTGCCATCACCAAGACACCAGCTGGCACTGCACCTTCTTTTGAGCATAGGGCAAAATGGAAGAGTCCAGATTCTTCTCTGTGTCCACATTGCCCTGCTGTGGATCCTGGCTCTCCCGGTTACTCCTACAGCCTGTCTCACCTGAGTACATTAAATGTATTTGGTTTTGTCTTACTCCTGAGGGCTGGCGGTGGGCCCTGGCTATTGCAGGAGAAAGCAAAGCAGGCCACTCTTGACTAGCCTTGTTGGAAACCCCGTGTCTAGCCTATCCTGCAGCTTAGCCAGACACCCCAACTGTGATGAGCCCTCTATTTCCCATGAGTCATTCTTGCCCAGAAACTTCCTAGAACTTTTAAATTCCCAGGGAAACTGAAGCTAGAGGTTCTGCTAGAATTATGTTCTCCTGGGAGTCTTCTTCTGAAAGAGGTCATACTCTTATGTAGCATGTTTATATTTGTCGTTTGGTTTTTATTTTAATCACCTTTCTCACTCATATCTATGTAAACAATTGTTAATAAAATATTTGAAGGAAATATATAAGAATAAAAAATAAAAAGAGAATATACCCTTAAAGATAAGATGTTTATGACAAAGACAGAATCAGGAATTAAAACATACAGGAAGTAAAAACTGCTATCACTGTCAAAATTTACTTACATGTCAATTTATTTGCTTATCCTGTTAGTTAGCTTAAGCATATAGAAACTAAGGCTTTCATATTATCTGCACTCACATGCAGAATAGAATGACATTAAAAAAAGTTGTTGCAGCCAAGATTTTCCTCTCTTGAAAGTAAATCAATTTACTTATCAGTTAAAAACTAACTAGTTCTTGATCATGTCACTAAAAATACTAACTTAGTGTTTCACAAAACACTATGCTGCTATGTTATTGAACTAATACTATCATTTTTCAACATTACTGAGTAAACAGAAAGTTTGATATTCTAAGTACATCTCTGCTCTGTACATCGCTGCAATGAAAACTAAATTCTTTTGGAAACACAATCCTCTTGGAAGAGACACAACTTGGAGTCTCTCCATGTCTTTTATACCTGGGCTAATGTGGCAATCTGTGGCTGGGCTTGAACTGTCATTTGTTGGTTCTCAGCTTCCGTTACAGCTGCATCTCCACTCTGCTGGTTCTCTGCTCCAGATTCCATGGTCATTTAGTTACCTACAATAACATGGAAGAGTGTTACAAGCACTACAGTGCTTTGTGCTTTCGTGACTTTCAAGGCAAATTGCGAGTTATAAATAGGTATATGTGGTGGGTTCCATTAGCAAATGCACTCAGAAATCTAGTTAACTACAAGGTAACTGAATTAATGTCAAACTTGTCCAAATCTGCTGAGCTTATGTAAAAGTGCTAGTCCCTTCAAAAAAGAAAAAGGCCTTTCTTCTCCCTTGGTTGTATCTTCTCAATGGACATCACCGCACCTAGAAAAAAAGAGGAATTCCTCTCTTCCACGAACCTCTCCTATTAATGAGGAGTGGATGTAAAATTATAATTTTTTCCAAACTGTACCAATCAGGTACAGAGAGGGGGTAGAGAGTGATGACAGAGTGATACTGGCTTCAGGGCACCTCCTATCAGAGTATCCCCTCCAGAGATGGAAGAAGCACAGAAAGGGCAAGCTACTTCCACAGGAGATCACTAGAGGGAGGACAAAATCATCCCAGCTTCAAGAGCCCAAGTTGTGGGGTCTCAAGGTAGAAAGGTGGAATAAATGGCCACAGAGGCAAACTGGAGGCCCAGACGCTGAAAAGGTCAGGGTGTCCTGATGCCTCAATCCATGCACAACATGCAACACTACATCACACACACACACAATTCCTTTTCACATTTTTAACTGTACGATTCCGAGGAAGTTCATCAAAACCGAGCTCTGTCAGTTTCTGGACTCTGCTAAGAGCCCATCTACCTATTGAGTGACCTGATGCTGGGTAGCAGCAAAAGCAGCAGCTACTACACGTGGAGGCTAGAGACATTTCTGGAAACTGGGAAGCAGCTCTGTCCTCGGGATTCAGGGAAATAGCAACGCTTCTAGTGCCGCTTATAGTCTGGAGCCTCGCATACTATCTGTCAAAAACGAATGTGTTAGTAGTGAGGGACTACCTATAGTGACGTCACAAAAAAAAACACCAAAACCCCACTATTTTTCCAGAATAAGCTTCATTTATTTTATAACTCTGAAAGTGATAATCAAAGTTGTCACTGATCCTTATGTGATCATGAGACACACCATCACAATGTATTAGATAATGATACATTTTGCTACCATTCATAGGGCTCTCTAAAGTGTTTTACAAGTGACAGTTAAAAATGGAAATCAAAATATCTCTGCAGAAATGAATATAGTTTAGAAATACCAAAACCACAAAACACAGATGATAAAAGATAAACAGACTTGACTACATTATTATTTGAAATATTAAGAAAGCCACCAAGACAAGTGCACTGACCATAATAATCAACACAGTAATGTCCAAAATATAAAACAACTACTAGTTAATAATAAGTTCATATACTGACTAGTTTAAAGATATTGTTCAAGGGTATTCAAAGTAGAAATTTTTTTATAATAGCAAAAAATTGAAAGCAAGTATCCACCATTAAGAGAACCATTGGCCAGGTGAGGTGGTTCCTGTGTATAATCCTAGCACTTTGGGCGGTCAAGGTAGGACTCGCCTGAGAAGTTCGAGACCAGCCTGGGCAACATAGTGAGACTCCCCCAATCTCAAAAAAAAAAGAGAACCATTAAAAAATTACAACAATGAAAAAATATTCTATGTAGAACATAATGATATACTTCAAAACAGAACTCATTTATATTTTAAACAAGTATACAACAAATTGTTGTAAAGATGTATGCATGGAAAAGCTGTGGCTTGAACTATAAATGGTGGTTCTGAAGAGAGAAATAGTACAGAATGATGACTTTCACCTTTTACTTTGGTATTTTAGTATTGATTGAGGTTCTTTTTTCTCTCTGTGAGTACAGATTCAGGATTACTTGTATAATTAAACTTTAATATCCGAGGTTACATATAACATTTAAAAAATGATGAACCAAAACTATACTTAAATCGTGATTTTGAGATGCTCACGGACAAAAATTTTTCAAATCCCAGATACTTTTATATGAGATAGCCATTTTTGTTTAAATTTTGCCACAACTGCTTACCCTGCATTTCCAAATAGTAGAAAACAACTGTTTTTTAAAATTATCAAATGACTTTGATTACTATCACATAATTCACTGAGTTGTATACTTACAATCTATGTTCTTTCCAAATAATTTAAGAATGACATCAAATGTAACAAAACAACAACAGCAACAACAGCAAAAAGTTTACTTATAAGTTATCCATACTTTGGGTCTTGAAGAAAATGGCATGTAAAAATAAAAACCTAATCTCAATGACAATAACATAAATAAATAAATCCATTCAAGAATAGTACCAAGTCAAGGTAAGAGTACATCCACAGTTTCGTTCTCCATTTTCTTCCCTAAGTCATCATTTTAACTAGAATGATTTATCACCATCATACCTCCTTTGTAGACAGAGTATACACAACTACTTTAAAAAGACTACTAAGTCACATTTTTTTAAGCTATGCTGTCATCCGATATACAGAGGGTGCCAAAAAAATATACACACATTTTAAGAAAGAAAAAAACTGTATTAAAATTCTAAGGCTCATTATATACTGATATCAGAAGATGAATACAAGCCACATGTGACTTCTGCAACTGCAAGCGGTGCTCAAAGTGGCTCCCATCAGTGTCCAGACTCTTCTGATGACGGCGAACCACTGCAGGACTTGCTGTTGGGCGAGGACTCGCAGATGTTCCCTTGTGCACATCACACACAGGACCACGCGTGTGTCTCAGATGCGTCAGGAATGCGTGCCGTTGTCGGGCGTGTTGGAGGTTCTGCTGCATTCTCATGCCTCCACTGTCATGCTTCCACAAGGTTCTCATACTGCAAATGCCACTTCAAAACGGTATTTGCGCTCCTCGAACGACAACCCTGCTTCCACCGTTTCCTTTGACTGTCCTGCCTGCCGCATGGTGATGCGAGCTAGCATTCATTAGATTAATGCCATCTTTTGAGCGAATGTCCTACTACACACTGTTACGTAATTCAATTCAACTTTGAAAAGTAATACATAGATAACATCTCTTAAAATATGTATACAGGTTTTTGGCACCCCTGGTATGTAGTTTCACTCTATTATTAAACACAATCCAAGGTACAGATCTATCATGACTTTTGCTTTTGTTTATAACACATTGAGACTAGTTAATTTTTATTTTTACATTTAAGGTATAGGGCATCATGACAACTTTTTGCTTTAGAAAACATGTGTCACTGTATTATAATAAAGGAACAAAGCCATTAGCTTGTATAAGTAAACTACAGCTGCAAAGACATATGATTTTCGTCCTTCTTCCCTCCCCAATGGGACAATATTCATTCTTTTTAAGATAAAGTATGATATTTCCAATGGATAGGAGCCCTCATTTAAAATGCTAATGTTTCACTGTCATTTCATTCAGGCAGCCTACTGGTCCCTTTTCTGGGTAAGGCACAGCCTCCTTCTTTTTTTAGATTAGAAAAAAAGTTTACTTAGAAAGTACATTAGCGAGAGAGAGAGAGATTCACCTCCCCGAGGTAGGGCCAAAGCCAGGAAACATGGCGATGGACATAGCTCAAAGAGCACATGGTCACACCAGAGCCTAGTAAGGCAATGGCCTTTTTTTTTTTTTAAGATTAGAAAAAAAAATTATTTAGAAAGTAAATTAGAGAGAGAGAGAAAGAAGCCTTCTTAATTTTTATGACTTTTAACTTCAGTAGATACTAACCACTTGGGCACAGTACAAACACAGAAAAATTTAGCCTTTTCTCAAAATGCTGCTGAGATTTAAGGAAGAATGTTTCAGATGAAGAACTTCACTGACTCAACTAAAACAGACACTGTTCTTTTGATTTTTCACCTTGAAGTTACCAAAATAGCAGTCTCCCAATGGGACTAAACTAGCATTTAAAGTGGATTCAATTATTTTGGACTTTGAAAGCTTTTGCTCTTTTTGCTGATACTCTCAGGTGTGGAGAAGAGATGGCAGAGTACCACGTGTATAATCTACAATTTTCCTATTAAGCCAGTATTGGTCTAGTCAGCAGTGCCAGTATCCAGACACAGAGCCAGATATTAGAGCCAATGTGTGAGTTTCCAAAGTTGTCTGATGAAAGGAGAGTACTAGTTCATTAAACAAGTGCCCCTCCCACAAAGGACTAAATAATGCTACGACTTAAGAAAAGGTCAAGTACATAGGAACTTATATAAATATTGGGCCTGGAGCGTCGTCAACAGTGTACCTTAGAAATCACTTAAAATATACTGCTGGCTTGACAGTTTTGTAATTCTCATTCTTCTAATAATGTTGAATTTAAAAATTTTTGTGGAATTATGTTTAAGATTTGAAAAATTTCATGATTTATATTTAAAAATTAACGTAGGACGAACACCTTAGAAACTATAAACTTAAAACAAATTTCAAAATCGTGTCATGCCTAAAAGAAACAACATTTTAATCAATTCACAGACACACACCATGTTGCTATAACGGTCTCCAGAATCCTGCTTAAAGTGAAAAATAAAAAGTGAAATGAATCTGTAATATTATATACCCAATATTGAGGAAAACCAAAGACTGCTGCTGTCAGTCGGTGGGAACAGGGTCTAGCATTTGGTGGAAAGCTGGATTTGTCACCAAGTGGCTGTGGACAAACTGCTTTAAACTTTTTGTGTTTCAGTTTCTCATGTATAAAACCAAGAGAGATGAATGAAAAGATTGCTTCCCGTTTTAAATCCTCTGATCCTAGGAACTGAGACCACAAACCACCATACACACAGAATTACCCAGGCCACATAATAAAGCAGTGTTTATGGTAAAGGAAAAAATTCCCTTTTACTATATACTTATATACATAGTAAAGAAAGACACAACGAATAAGAATAGGCCACCTAGCCTCTTCCCCTTGGGCAAGTACGGATATATTACCATTCATTTATGTAATTATGAGAATGAAATACAACTTGAGATTATTGACGGTACTTTAAAAATATGCTGCAAGACCAAACTATTATCCAATAAAGATTCTACAA